GTTATGTGCACAGGAAGTAGAGAGGAGTTCAAATATCTATTCTGTTGTTTCAAAAATATTTTAAAATAAATGCTAATTTGTTTCACTTACTCCATTAATTTTTGTTGTCGTTCAATGAAGAGAAAGTTTTATTCCTGCATTATGTTTTCTTTGGAGAGAGAATCTTTCATTGTCTATGGTTTACTCTAAATAACATGTTGAATATTCTTTTAAGATCATAATACACATTTTGACCATTGCCATTTTCTAATTAGTTTGTTATAAAATTTTGCTTTATGCTTTCAAAGAAGATTGTTTAGTATTATTAATAACTACATATATTGCATTAAAATAAAAAATGAGCCACTGAAGTAATTTTTATACTCCATTAATTTTTCTCTTTCTCACTAAATGTTATATGAAGCTGTTAAAAAAAAACACCAACAACATCATTTTTATTTTTTAGTATTTTTCACAGAGAAAGCCCTCCCAATAAAATCGTATGTGAGAAATGGAAATGAAGTTACAAGAAAGTTAACAGTGACAAGGGGCTCAAGTTAGTTTAAAAATAAAGAATTGGGCTCGAAAGCCTAAGTGACTTAGATTGCTGGGAAAGTGATGGGGATATTCTTTTTCTAAGAGCTCAGTGTTTTAAGCTTCCCAGATTCTGCACAAAAGGCATTTCAGCACATATGTGATCCAGAAGGTCAATCATATGAAATCCTATTTCCATTTTTTAAGCAATGCTTGGCAGTCTGCACATTTCTGAAATTGCAACTGGCATATTTCACAGAGAATTATCATCAGTGCCTTTTCAAGGTCAAACATGCTTCATGTTTAGATTTTAGGCTATATGCTAAATCATGGCGTATATTGAAGAAGGCATTTAGTAGACACATTAACTAATTTTAATTAATTAGATTGTGTTCATTATTGCCACGTTGAATTCTATTTGTCATAAGTCATACAGTTAAAAATATTAAAATATGCCTTAAATTTAGATGTGAATATTCTGTGTTTGCTGCCCTTCCTTGGACATAAACATGCCTGTGTGACTAGAATTTTGCTATGGGTCTTCTTTAAAATATTTAAAACACACAATTTCTCGTTAAGAAAGTAGAAGTAATTCCAAAAATGAAGAGAGAATAAGAGACTGCTCTTATTTTTAAATTGTCAAAACTCCAGGACAATGGTCATCCCATGAGCAAAATAAAAGTGAAACTGGGCAACAATGCTGTTGAGATGGATTGCTTGGTGTGGTAACTGTGGCCAGTCTTGTCATAGGACAATATAACAGGGTTTGGGCTCCTTTTCTCCCCTTACCCTCAGGAATTGAACTCAGGACGTTGTGCTTGCCAGGCATGTGCTGTGCCACTGAGCTATATCCTCATCTGGTTTCTGATTGTCTGGCTTCTTTCATATTTGTCTCCCTAAACCTTTGTCCCAATAATATCCAGAGAAGTCTATGTCTCCATGCCATACATGGGTTTTCTTTTAGGAGAGAGACAGAGACAGAGATAAATTGAGAGAGAGAGAGAGAGAGAGAGAGAGAGAGAGAGAGAGAGAGAGAGAGATCTGAGAATTTTCAGCAATTTTAGAGGCTCTGCCAGCATTCTGATCATTCCAAATATATTTACACTTTAAATTGGAATTCAAGAAAAAAAATCTGGGGGAGGATGAGTGGGAAAGAACTGAGTTGTAGATAGCCACATATATATCACCTCTTTCAATTTTTAGCACATGTAACAATTATGGGGATGATAACAAAGCTTGGAGGTGTACCCCAAAACTATCTCTCCCATGTGTGCCCTTGGTCAATTTTATCCTTCTCACCTGATTTTTCACTTTGCATATCTTTAAGAGGAAACCTACTGTGAGTGATTCCCAATGAGTGAGGCTCACTGCTCAAAACGACCCTGTTGTGACATGCCCAGGCAGCTCAGCCGCACACCAGGCTTGCACCTGGTTTTATCTTCCCAGCACACTACTTTCTAACGACAGCTTGGACTAAAGCTCAGATTCCTGTTGTTCGTTCCATTCTGCAGCTTTAGCTTCTGAAGCTCTGAAGGAACATGGAAAACAAGGCTGTTCAGTAATTCTGCCTTCTGTTTCCATCCCTACCGGCTTCTCTTAAGCGGTCGTGTTTTGCTACACACTTTACTTCCATAATTTGGCTCCTGATATTTATCTCAGCTGTTAACCTTAAAGGACTTGGTGTGAGGCTTGGGCTGGTTTCCACTCTTCCTTTGCCCACCCATCATCCATCATTCATGCACCCATATACTGTGGCATCGTTTCTAATGGCCCAGCAGTCTCCATTCAAATTCTCTCTTTCCGCCTAACAAAAAAAGTTCTCACAGTATTTGCTTCCTCTTGTAAGTCTTTACTAATTTTACTATTTTTCTTTCCATTGTAAGTATTAATATCAACATTTAAATCATGCAATATTCTCCCTTCTTGTTGGGATAAAAAACATTTTAAAATCACCATAAATTGTACTTGCTTCTCCAACTACTCCCATATTTTTATTTACTTTAACTTCAGAAACCCTCAAAATAGTTTCCTGTGCTCTGCTTTAATTCCTGTCTTCCCATTTTCTCATGAGTTTTGTTCTTAGCTCTTCAGAGAAATTGTTCTTGACAACAGTAATGATGTCATAGTCAATGGTCAATTATCAGACTTCCACATACTTGGCAAAATCTCACTGATCATTTTTGACACTTTACTGCGAGACAGAACATCTTTTGTGATTGTTTTGGTCTTACCACTCATATTTACTGGGTACCTGTGTTCTTACTATTGTGTGAGCACTTAGGTACCCCAAAGAATATTTCTGGGTTCTCTATCTCTATCTTGATTGAAGCCCCAGACATCTCTATATAGGCTCTCAACTATGATTCCTATGGAATGTGACCCTCACTTTTAGACCTCTAGGTTTGATTTCTACTGTGTCAGATTTTTTTTTTTTATCTCACTGCCACTTGAGGGTGTATACCTGGATATTTAAACCTTTATAAAACTGACACCAAAGCCAAACTGTTACCACCCATTATTTATCTTAAATTTGATCCCACATTAGTCTTTATAGTGTCATCAAATAGAAACATTATTCTAGCTGAAGCAAAAATAAAATAAAATTTAAAATAAACAGAATAAACTCGAGAGTGACTTTATTTTTCCCTTACTCAACTCCTATATTTAATGAATCACAAAGCCCATAACTCGATTATTTTACACCAAGTTTCCTACAGCCATCTGATTACAAACCACTATGTGCTTTCACAATTAAAACAAGAAGAGGATGATTTATTCCTGGATTCTGCTCTGTCCTCAAACTGGCTGAAGTCTTATCTTCTGAGGGACAGATGTAAAAATAAATGTCCTCAGATCATTTATGACTTTTCAATTCAACATGTGACCCGAATTGTTTTCATAGCATAGTTCCGGAAATGATTACTAGATTACTAGTAACCTAGTAAGAACCAACTTTCAGTTCACATAGTTAGATTTTATTTTACAGCAATGGTTTTGCTGGTCTACTGCTGCTGTACTATATACCCCTTGCACTTTAGACACCCTTCAAATTGCTGATTATACCTTTTTTTGTACTTGTCAGAAAATGACCTAAAAGTTGGTCATTTTTTTCAGTATTTAAGGTCTTTAGGTAGAAACTTGCTGGATGTTGTTGATGAAACACAAGGTAGTAATAGAGATATACAGTTTACATATCCATGGATATCTAAGAGAATGTAAAATAACTTTATTTACATAGTTATAAAAGAAATTATTGTTGTCATGTAATGCTATTATTAGACTTTAGATTAGAGAAGTGAAGTTATTTAGAAATCATGTCAACCATCACTTTTGTTATGAATTTTTAAAAATTCAGTTGCAAAATTAAAGTAAAATTTTGAAGTCCAGCCAGCAACACACACACACACACACACACACACACACACACACACACACACACAGTAGTCCATTTTCTTTCTTACTTTCTTTTACAGAAAGAGTCCTAAAAGAGGCATATTTTCCATTGAATGACTGGACTAGTGTAACATTCTTAGTTTCCTTATAAATATGAATACTTCATCTTAAGAGAACATTTTATTTTCCTTAATATCATAGTATTCACAGAGTAAGCATAAAGCATTAATGCTCGATTAGATGAGAAATCTACTATGAACTATCAGAATATCTTAACCATTATCATTCATTTACACCACTGATTGATATGAATTATTTCCTATATTTTGCTTTTGCTGGCTGGACTCCAATGGAGAAGCAAGACTCCATCAAACAACATGGATCTCCCTGTACCTCTAAAAAGTCAACAGGCACCCCAAAACACTATAATATTCTTCAAAACAACAACAAAAATTAAGAGACAGTGTTAGTGCCTTGTACAATTTAACGCCAATTTGAAGGCTGCAAATTGGGCTCATTAGCCTGCAGTAGGTAGGTTTTACCATCTTACACTGTAAAGATAATTTCATTTGAATAAACCTAGGGTCCTTGGTATTAGAGATGTAGTAGCCCTAAAATTCTACAGAGTGCACACAACAATGATTCCACCGCCTTCAGAGACTCACCTGTTTGTAATCAGTGGTGAGACTTGGTCACGTTCTAGGAAGACAATGAACTCTATTGCAACGTAAGGACTATTCAGAAAGATCATTAAAGGTGAGAATTTTCATCAAATTGACGTTTGTGTGCTCCCTTGTGCGTTTACTAAGAGATTGTCGAGCACAAGCTCTTATTCAGGAGATACTGATTTCTTTCCCCAGTCCATCTGTACTTCCATATGCATAGCACATTGTGAGTAACTTTTGTCAAATAAGGTAAGATTCTATCAGCAGGCTGGACAGGTTTTGCTATGGTTGATGTGCCTCTTTCTCGTCATCTTACCATGCCTAGCCAACTGTGATAAGACCTTTCTCGATCAACTGACACCACAGTATCAGTAGCACACACAGAAGGCCTCATGTACCACAGTCTCAGCGTGCACTGTGCATACTTACCGCTTTATTGCTTCTTCTTGTCTTCGGCGTTTTTCATTCTTCTCCTTCAGATAGGCCAGGTTTGTTTCATTTCTCAAGCGATCATTCTCTCTAGCAATGTCCGATGCATTCTGAATAACCAGGCCATCATACGCCTTCATCCCCATATCCTCGATATATTGGAGAAAGTTGTCCAAAGGGTCTTCCTCAGGATTCACGCTCAACATCTTGGAGGGTATCATGCGAAAGGAACACTTCCTGTGTGAGAATACATTGTACCTTTAACCAAGTGGGAATAAAAGCAATGTATGGGTTATAAGCGCTAACATTTTGTCAGTTCAAATCTCCAGTGGTTATGGCAGAATGTATCTGGGAAAAAAATTTCACTAGAAATTACAAATCCCTGTGATAGTTGAAGAAATATTAAATAAATGCTCCTGAGCATCAAATACTCCCTCAAAAAAGCCACACTAAGAGGTTAAAGATCATAGGCTGCGTACTACAAGAGGGAATGGAAAGTGTAAACATTATGTGTGAACATAAACACATAATTAGTCACTATTTGTTTCCCAACAATGTGTACTTACACCAGTAAACTATAAGATGCTATTAATTTCTCATCGTCATAAAGACATTTCTGCACAATTTCAAATGAAAAGTCTAGTTGGAAGAAATGTTATGTTTTCAAGTTTTTAATTTAAAATTTATAAATCTGAGTAATTTACATAAAATACAACAGCAATCATTAAAAGACAAAGAAATTGTATTTCTAATGTAATTTTTATAGAATACTATTCCTTTTGAGCTCTGTTATTTCCCATAATGATCCTCTCCAGTAGCTTCATTTTATAAGCATTTATCAAGCATTGTTGATCTTCAGGAGCAGCTTAATCCAAACCAGTTTGGTAATTTGAGTAGTGTTAACTTGTCATACTATCACTACACAAAGATATAAAAATTTAAGCCATAGAGAAGATTACTGAGAAATCAAAACAAAGTAAAATTGTAACCACATGCCTTTCAACCAGCACATATTATTGTCATCTATAGAATATGAGTAATACCCTGATGCTGCTGTGATGATTGAAAGAAATGTGGATGAAAAGATTTACAATAGAGATCAACAAGAATATGCACTTAAAATTGGTTAATATTATAAAAGAACTATGAGAGGAAGAGTGGCAGTAATAATAATATTAATTGAGTGCATGTGGATGGATGGATGAATGGATAGACAGATGGATAAGCAAGCAGGCTATAAAAATATTCATGTTTTGAAAAGGAAGGTTTCCAAGTAATGGTAGCAAAGGTTTGGTGCTTTAATCAAATAAAGAAATAAATACAAAATTCAATTAATTACATAAAAATAAATTTTATTGTTTTAGGTTCCTAAGGCTTAAACAAACTGGCATAACTGAATAAGATGGGGAAAAAACTCAGTTACCAAAGGGAAAAAGTTGTCCTGTTAAAGTCATCTTTTTCTTTCTTCACATGTTTTTTAAATCTATTTTGAATATGTATGTCTACTTAATTTAAAAACTTCAGACTTTCATTTTTTTCCTCTTACAGATAAACATCTTTCTCTTTTTAAAACTAGATTATAGCTATGCAACTTTTACTTCTCATCAGTGTTTATTAGCCTTTCAGCTGCCAGTTAATTTATATTTGAATTTAAAAATTTTTTCCTCAGTCAAAGGAATACATACAAATGGAACTTGGATAGAGTCATTTGTAGAGTTAAAATTTGTGTTACGCTAAATTTGTATTATGTTTTGCTTGTTTTTAAACCCTAGTGAGTTAGAGATAAAATGATCTTTTAATTCCAGCTATCTAATGCAATTCAATTGTATTTTAATATCAGTTCATTGGATCAAATGCTTAAATGGTGAACACACACAGAAAGATGAAATTACTATTGCAAATAATTATAATTTTGGTGAAGGGGATACAAGGCACTATTTCTCAGACAGATCAAACATGATTATTATCAGGACTTTATTTCCACCAAGGGCTTCAGTGCTAGAAGTGCCTGGATAAAATCAGATCAGCCTAACTTTATGGCCATTAATTTTACCGAAGTTAAGCAAGGCAAGCCAGCGTGACAAGGCTGCTAGACATAATGCCTCAGGCTGCGGGTGATCACTCCCATTCTGCCCTCTAGCTAACTTATATGCTTCCCATTTGCATGAGGCATTATGATTCAAAAAATTTTTTCCCTGAAGTTTCTTCCAATTCAAATGACACCAATAATTGCATATAGTTTATATATTCTACTTATTAACAAGGTTAACTTTTAATTCATGGACATTTGTAACCTTTACATGTGGTTTTTCAAATGTTCTAGCTTTTAAGTTATTTTCGTTCTCCCAAATTATTAAATAACATTAAAATAAACTATTTATACTAAAGACAGTCATATGCTTTTTAAATGGAGATGAAAAGTTTCAAATGACAATCATCCATAAAATCGAGTAAAATTCAACAGTTTGCAAATAGGATGAGTGAAAAATTTTAAATGGGAATCAACCATAAAACCTAGTAGCGTTCAAAAGTTTGAAACAGGATTAATTTGTATATAAATTCTCATGTCTTCTGATTCTACAAAAGTAATTAATTCTATGAACATTGTTTTTTTAAGTATTAATTGAGCAACTGTTTTGAATCAGGCACTAATGAAGTCAGAATGATGTCTTTTAGCATGTCCACACTGCAGATACGTGAACAATAACTAATTGTATTATGTATTACTAGAGCACTGATGCAGGGGAACTTTATTAGTATGCCATACATGTTTCATTTTTACTGTTTTTCAGGGTAAACAAGGAACACTGCGACAATTGTATGCCATCCTGGAAAATGGACTATGCAGCATGCATAGTGGCATGCACCTATCATTCTGGAATTCAAGAGGCTGGAGACAAGTGGACTGTCAATTCAAGGACAGCTGGGCTACCGAGTAAGATGTTGTATTAAGAAACAAACAAATAAATTGATTAGGGCCCAGTCAGTGTTTAACCATCAAATTTTTCCCATTTATTCCTCTTCATGTAGAAGCTGGTTTGTGGTGTAGGGGAGGGTGAAGCACCCTTGATGAACAAGGATGAAGAGTCCTCCAGTGTGGCTCCAACCTAAGGAGCCACAGAGTCTATGGTGTTGTGTAAATTAATTAGCATTGATAAGCTCTATCTTCCACATTGAAATAATGGTGGCTGGAATGGATTTATGTTCTAAGGATTCATCTAGAAAACACATATGCAAGTGTTCAATTACACAATCATAATTATCAGTAACTAATATTACTATTTCATATTTTGCCTGATTCCTAATTGTACACAAGATTATATTTAGTAAGAATATAACACCTTGATAAACAAGAGTTTACTTTGAAACACATATGACCAGGCTATTTGAGTAGATCAACTTCCTTAGTCACCATTGTACCAGTGGATGAAATAGGAATTAACACATTGTTTGCCAACCAAAGGCTTCCTGACCTACCACTGATGCATTGGCCCTATTGTCCACATCTAGAAAATAAGGGAAGTAGGACCTATGGACCCTGAAACTTACTCCATCTCTTAAACTCTTGGACTCTGCCCTCCGAGCTAATGAGATTTCTCAGGTAACTGAACCTTAGTTGATTCATAGACTCACTAAAGATAAGTGAACCTCATATAATCTTCCTTTTTACCCTTGATGTCATGAAAACAGACAAGATCATAAATCTTTCAGAAACACATATTTACAACTAAGATACTCATTGAATAAAATGTGTTCTATACCATCAGGACTTAGATGTAGTTCGAATGTTGGATATCAAATCCAGATTATTCCTGCTCCTTTCATGGCATCTGTATGAGTGTTCACAAAGGCTTGACTTCAGCACCAGTTGCTCAGTTGGCATTTTAGAAGATTATATTCGTTGAGGCAAATGATGTCCTTTCCTCAAGGCAGAGTGTCTCAATTTATCAATAAGTAAGAATCTATCTCACTGCATCTCAAATTAGGGCACAAGACAATGACACTACAGTGGGTGAGATTTGAGATTTGCTTTTGATTGAAGCAGTAAATGTCTGCAGCCAGGTTTTCTCAAAACAAATTAGAGATTTTTAGACCTACCTACCCACTGTCCTGGAGCAATTGCTAAAAAGTGGCACAGTATCTGGTCTTTATTTTAAGGGCAAAAATATTTTCCTTAAATGTATAGTATCAATCGATATAATACATTGTGCATGTACTTCTTGGAATTTATGGTCAACATTCTGAGAAATCACCTAAATGACTAAGTTGGAATCCCTGCACAATCTACACATAACTTGGTGTCTTCACATTATATCTTTTCTCCACAGCTGTACTCTGTATTCACAAGAGACTCCTTTTGTTTAATGTTTAACTTACTGAGGATAGAATGGTAGAATGGGGAACAAGCATATAAAAGCACAGAAACAGGCTTTAATACAAATGGTGACTATTTGTTCAGCTTTATTTTATTTGCTTCTGTAACTTTGTTGCTTATACTGTGTCCAATTGACCACACCCTTCACAAAGATTACTTTGTATAATATTGTTAACCTTTCCTGAATTTGTAATTTCACCCACATGAGCCAGAATACACCAGTCTAAATCCAGAGGACTCTTACCATCCTACCCAAATACTTAAGTTTGCATTGAGTTAAACAACTTATTTTCTTTTTTCCAAAAGCATCACTGTTTTTACCTGTACTGAACTGAGGTAGGATTACTTTTCTTTACAGTTGCTTCCTCAGATATAAAATTATCCTTTCTGTACACATGCAGAACACAAATTGGTTATGTCTAAATGGGATTCAAAGAAGACAAAATTTTAAAATCCATTTTTTTTCTGTAACTACTGTTTCCATTCAAGGAACACAGAAAGTGTAACACTCCAGGATACTCAATGTTAAAATAAAGAAAAAAAAAAGAAATATATATAATTGAAGTTAATCAAATCAAGCATTTATGCAGGATATATTCTTTGTCAATTAAAGTATCAATTATGTGCAGCCTCAATTAACAAAGGATGTTTAATGTGGTACCAATCTTTGTCCAGATTGAGTCCCCTATAACACAAAAGACTTTTGATTAGTTATGGTTGCTCAAGGAAAGATGTACAGAGAGTCAGATAAATATGCAGCATGCCAACTTCCCTCTCATTTGTGTTGAATCACTTCCCTTCTTTTTGCTTATAATTCAGAACAAATTCCTCCACTAGTGTAACTGCATGCCTTGTGATATCAAGCATTCCAGTTCCAAAAAGCCTAGTTTAGATGGAGGTGTACATTAACTTGCCAGGTAGAGCTTACAATAGACTTTATACTCCCATTTACCAAAAGCACAGCTGTGTATGTCCTAGAAGTTGTGAGTAAACAATCTCTCTAGTCTTATGGATGCTAATGTTTTTAATATTCTAAGTATTGACCCAAAATACCTTTAATGAACCTGTCCCCCTTCTGCAACTTTGCTTTTCCAAGAAATAAAGTTGATACAACTGCATTTACCTGTATATTTCCCATCTATACCAAGAAGTAGAAGACTAAAAAGCTCTGGTTTGGGGGAGAAGTACTTGGTAAGGCTGAAGTTCCATAGGAATTTTGTTAAATTTTAGTCTGTTGTTAATGCTGCCAGATAATCTTATGAAAATATGAAAATAATATGGTAAAATTTATTTTAGACCATTGTTAGACTGCTATTTGTAATGAACAGGAAGCTTAATACATGCAAGATACACATGAGCACTTTACTTCTACTTCACATGTATGTTTTCATTCTATTCGCAGATGGGAAAGTTTTCTAGTCTCCATCCTTTCTATATTTCTGAGACTTTCAAACAATACTTGTTTTAATACTGAAATAATTTATTAGAATTTGAGTTATCAAAATTTAATTTTCTCTCCCATTCCAACTAGTGCACTGTCCTAAAAGAAAGCAATATTTTGTCACGCAATAATGATCCAGTAAAAGTTTTGCAGAGCATTTCTGACTATTATTTGTTATTGGTCAGCAGGAAAAAAGGCAATCTTTTGCACTCTTGCATGCACTTGACCACTTCAAAAACACACTGTGTGTAAAATATAATTATTTGTACTCAAACTTTATGTACATGTGTGAAAATCATGCCAATTAATAGCTAAAATTTGATGACTTCACATAATAGGACCAAAACACCAAACTAGATAGCCTGGTTATGATCCATAACCCATGTAAATCATAACAAAATTGTTTTTCTTACAAGATCTTATAATCTGTCAAACATTTGTCTCATCATTCCACTCTAATCATGCTTAAAATTTTATCCCCAAGCCCACAAATTATCATGCTCATTTTCTTATCCTCACTATCATCAAAATGCAGCTGTTTTGCCCAAAATGGGAAATGTTGAAGTTACAACCAACTAAGCCTGCTGAGAGGACTACAAAGACACTGATTGCTTTTTTCTCAGACAGTAGATTACTTTGCTGTGAGTTTTTCTTCACTAGCTCTCTTCCACAAGTTGGCATGATGGGCATAGATCATTTATATGTGATAGCATAAAAACTCAGACGTTTCCTCCGAATTCCAGATTGCCACAGTGCCTTCTGCCAATGATTGTAAGAGAATGCACACTTCTCTAATACTAGTGGCTCTAAAAAGTGCTAGTGACTAAGGTACCAGTGGAGTCCAGACGCTTACAAGGCAGTATTTGAAAAGTAGGTACAGTCAGTTTAATAAATTGCTGACTGGAGCTACAATACAACTATCTAATTGAACTGAGAGTCTATGACTGATTTATGTATTTCAAACAATAGCCAATGTTCCTCTTCTTGGAATTTTTACACTTCTTTCTCTGAACTTTCTAGATGCTTCAAGCCTTAGACTTTGCTTTAGACCTTTCTGAAGTTATAACATTTTTCTCAGGTCTGTTTCCACAAATTCTCTAAATTGTTATTTTTTCCCAGAGCTCCTGTCTTGCCTGAATTAGATAACATATGTTGCACTTTCCCTAGGAAAACAAAACCATTTCAGCATCTATGGCTCACATTTGGCTCTTAATTTGTGCAGCTAATGCTTGACAGTATGTAAAAATATGCAAGCACTGTCTAAAATGTGTAGAATTATAAGTAAATTTTCATTCTTGCTCTGTAGTAAATATTCCCTAGTTGCTTGATTATACATTTTGGATGTGAAAATTCTAAGGCTATACCCTGTAACATCTTCAGCTGGCCACCCTTCTTTTATAAATATATTTAGAAAAAATACATTCCTAGGATACTTTAACAACTTTAATATTTCTCAGTCTGAATGTGCAGTCTTACTGAATGCAGCAGTTCATTCAAACACAAAACACCTACATTTATTTCTCATAATATTTTCATACCATTGAAAAACCAGACTGGAGATGCTCCAACAAAATAAATACATGTCCCGAGTAAAAATGACTCCACCTAAAGTTCTGTGAAAATATTGATTATGATGAGGCTAGTGAGAGCTTCCAAATAGTGGTTGATATTAAAATATATATCTCAGAGAATTTATGTCTGATTAGTCAGGTACAAGCAGTATCAGCCTTGGTGTATATCTGGTAGTTTGACATCTTTTTTGTGGCACTGTATTTTTTTTCTGAGAATGTAAAACTAGGCTCTCACTTGCTGACACAAATCTATTAAGACACTGTTGTAAAATATTTATGGTACGGAATAGTAGATAAATAGCTAACATGCACAACTCGAATGCCAATTAATACCTTGGAAAATATTTTTAATGCTGTTAATAATTCAACATGGCTTATTTTACTAATGAAAACCTAGTTTAACCATTTCCATGGTAATGGAACTCAGTGGGCAAGGGAGTAAAAATAGCCCAAGGCTCCCTAAAGCTCTGGATGCCTTCACTGTGGCTTTATTTCTGCTCTACCTAATAAAATATGCAAACTTCAACCTTAAGTATCTCTAGCTATAAAATCCATTCCATTTTATAACCAGACTGCTTGATCTGTGTAGTGCTGGATTTAATTAGCATGCTTAGAGAATCTGAAAAAATGAGATACATACCAAAATTTAAGTCCCCAGGGAGAGCTAAGTGCAATAATCAGAAGGTGACTTGGGTCTGCCAGAGCCCTTGCTCGCTCACGTTGGTCTCAGGGCAGTTCTGTAGGAGTAATCCAGCACCATAAGAAAGAGACTTGTAGTTCAGCTCAGTTTTTCTTCAATTAAAGTGCATCGTATGAGGATGGGAAAAGTGTCGAATCCCAGATTCTGCATCACTAGAAATCAGAGCATTCTCGATGTTCTTCCTACCAGATAAAATGGCCTTTAAAGTTTACTAGGAAGATGCAGTGACAGAAGACAGGTGCTCTCTTTCTTAAATCGACATTCGGAGAAAGGAGGGCATAGCTAATGGGTGGGGATGAACACACAGTCCCTCTCCTTCCAGGTCCAGCTGGGAAGAAATTGGACGATTTTACTCACTTTGTTACACAGCTGATTGCAAGACCCAAAACAATCACCAGGCTGGCTAAGGTACCTCATTTGATTATATTCTGTGAGACAAAAATAAATGAAAACAAAACAAACAAACAAAAAGATCAGACACGTCTTCTCTAAATGTCTCCTTTCATCCAAAAAGATGCTCTTTTTCCTTGCCACTTACGTACAGAAGGTTTAGAGCAGGCTGCCTTGTGGCATCGTCCCTCCCCCGTGACAACCGAGCTCTCTCTCTCTCTCTCTCTCTCTCTCTCTCTCTCTCTCTCTCTCTCTCATTCTCTCTCGCGCTCCACTAGCTCCCTCCCTACCCTTGACTCCCTCCCTTCCTGCTTCTCCCTCTCCTCTCCAGCTCCTTAGTCTGTTGATGCTGCTGCTGATTAATCAGGGATTCTGAAACAAAAGAACCTACCTTCTGAAATGAGCAGTAATCTCTCTCTTCTGCTCCTGCAATTCGTCTGCATTGAAAGGCAAAGCTGCCGGCATCCTAGCACCTTGGATAGTTCCTGCTCCCTAGGCCCAGTGGAGAAGGGAGAAGCAGCAGCTGAAGAAAGGGCCAGAAACCCGAAAACAGCATCGTTCTACTTTGGATTTGGGCTCCCTGGGGGCTCCCATCCTCAGTAAAGACCTCACATTTAGGCAACAGAACCTCTCTCTCTTATCCAACTGAGCTGAAGTCTGATCAGTAAATAGTAAAATGAAAAGAGGGTAAAGAAAGCCCTTCATTTATATCCACTGTAGCACCAGTTTAGTCCTTCTGGAGTAGAAAAATATAAATCCATAAAGAATGACTCTTCCTACTACAGAGGGTGCCTAAGGTATAAGCTTTTCACCCCCGGTGAGGCTACTAAAATGAGCAACAACTTAAAAGGAACATCCGGATCTCAGTTTGAGACCCTTATTTGATATCAATTTTGCTTCCACCCTCCTCGCACAGCACAGCACAGCCACGCACACAATTACTGCTGACGTACTTCGGGCTGCTGCTTGGGGAAAGAGGGGAGGAGCCTTTTAACCTCATCAAAACAGCCTCATGCCACCTGCTCCCGTGGCATGAGAACAAAACCAGCCCTTCGAAAGGAACGTGCACAGCGCACAGGAACGTGGAACAAAGGTCTCCCTCGACATGCACATTTTTTTAAGCAAAAATAATGTATGAAGTAATTAGCCCATGTGTGTCATTACCTCCTCTAGCCTCACTGCTGAAAGTAGTTATTCATTTTCTTTCTTATTTTTCCTACACACTGTTCTCAGTTTCCTACTGAATATATGCAGATAATTTATGGCCCATGTCACAACATGTATATGTGTGTGCACATGTGTGCCTGGACATACACGAAACTATGGGGTGTGAGTACAATATATGTGTGTATTTGTATAGAAATCCATTAAATCCTGAGTCTCTATCTAGCTGGTTTTACCTACAAGTAAATAGCAAAATGTAAATTTTAAAAATATTTTAAGTTTCTAATATTATAAAATTAACAATAAGCAGTAGGTTCCTGTTTAAGTCGGGGTAAAATGCCAATTCTGAGAGCAAAACTGTGCTTTTCATGTAATAACAACCTCTAGAATTTTTCTATCACTTTTTCTGCCAGTAACCTTTATTACAAATGACCTTCACTTGCAGACTGATTTTCCCAATAGGTAAACATTTAGATTCATAAATAATTTCTTAGAGAAATGTGTTCTGTATGTAAAGTGATTTTTCACATATCACTTAACCATAAAATTAATAATAAATTTAAGCTTGCCTTCTTCATTTTTAAATGCCATCTGAGACGACGCTATGATTTAGTAAAGTTTGGTTTTTATCTGTGCACAGATAAAATCATCACATTATATTGCTATCAGTCTTCTGACTTCATGTGTTATAAAGTGCTTTCTTAAAATCCATCCCTCACTCACTAGTTTCTGAACCTCTCCTTTTGGTGTGGAAGGGGATTTCTGTTTAAAGTTATAAAAGAACTTCTCCAGAAGAAAAGAAGTAAGGATACTATAGTTGGGAAAATCAAAAGGCTACATCACTGTCTCTAATTCTTCCTCGCCTCCCTTCTCCAGCTCTATCATCTATGTCTCTCGCTGTCTTTATCTCACTGTCTCTTTGTCTGTCCTAGGGAAGTCCCAAAACCTCAGCACATTGCAGCAAACTGCCTCAAGTACCATTCACAAATTAGCACAATCCCCACACTGTGATTAAGAGGTTTACTAACGTATCATTATATTTGGCTCTGAAGTATGCTCATAAAATTTGTCTTTCACACAGTCAAAGGTGACAAAGATTCTTTATAGTGAAATGTGAAAGATACTTTGTGAAGTGGAAACATTTTACCATGACTGATTACTTTACTAGGCTTGGCCAGCCCTATTGTAAACCACAGAGAGCTTGAAAAATGTGTGAAGCCTATTTTTGCACATGAGACAAACAAACAGATATACAAAAAGGCTTGCTTCTAGCATCCTGCTCATTGGCTCATTAGGATTAGGACAGAATTCACCAAGCGCTCTGCAAGCCCCAGCATCATTGGTCGACATGCTGATTCTCTGTCAGTGGTCTCATGCACCAGGAACATTCAGACAGCGAGGAGAGGCTGATGGATACCTACCAGTGCAAAGAGAATTTGCCATTTTTACCTAAAGTTTCCAAAATCAAGGGGATTGTATCCTAAAAGAATAGATGGTACATTTATAATAATGAATAGTCCTTTAAGTTGAATATTTATAACTTTAGGGAACTATATCATATTATCTGCCAACCTTTCCACTGTCTTTCCTATTTCCTCCTTTTCTGCCTGCCTGCCTCCACTCTTCCCTTTTATTTTCATGGTTTTTTTCTCCCCTTCTTATCTGAGAATAGGTCTCAGAGGCATGATGTCCTAGCAAACTTTTCTTTTCAATTCAGCACACTCTTTATTTTAAACTTCAACATTTGGTAATTGGGTAATTTCTTCCCTGGAGGTATATTAGTGTATAGGAGTTCACAGCACCTTTGGGGACCTGTGTCCACAATTATTTCTTTAGGTATTACTGAATGAAATAAAAAAAGCATTATGCCCTCTTCCAAATAATCTTAGAACCAAACACAAATTCTCAACTTATTTCAATAGCATCCAGAGTAAAATGCACTGGACAAAATTGAAGTTGGAATCCTTATAGTAAGAACAGAGGAATACAAAGATCCCAAACACTCAGATAAGATATATGTGGTGCTTCATTTCCTGTGCTATAAAATGCACAAATACCTCTGGTATCCCTAGAAAACTAGTCAGAACATGCTTCATGATGCTATATGTCTTTTAAAGTTCTTAGAGAAAAGTATGATTTTCTCTGCTATTCAGATGCAGGGAGTGAATGCTTTTGGTAATAAGTGGGTCTTTTTGGTGAACTCAAACACAGAAAGAAGGCCACAGCCTTGAAAATGTTTCTTATTTAAAAATTTGGCCACAGGGTAGGGAGTGGCTTTTTCATAAAAGTGATTCAAAAATTAACATACAGTAATCCAGTTACTTAATTTTGAGGAGCTTATTGACATCCATCAGAAGGATACTCTCTAAATTCATGTTGTGATTTAAAACAAAGCCTTTTGTGGTTTTCCATGATATATAAATTTTCCATTATTCACGCTACATTTAGCTTAAGGAGGTGACTCTTCTGTTACAGTGAACTAGTTGAAAAAGCCAATCTCCTTCCCATCCAGTTAGGAACACTTAGTATTCTGGTAACAGCATGAGATGAAAGGTTTCATAGAATGAGCATCATGTGCTCCTCATGAGTTTTGCCTATAACAACGTAAGTGTCAATGGCAATAGTACATAAGAGCTAGAGGTCATGGAAGAGCAGAGGCAATGCAGGTGCTCTAAGATCCTGATACTCAGTGATGAACAAAAATAAGACTTACAGTCTAATAATGTACATAAAACCTGCACTCATTCTGCTAGGGGAGGACATAAGCAAGAAATGGAATATTAGTGTTGCAAGAAACTTATGACCTGACACAATCTTTCTTGGTTTTGGTCAACAGATATTTGTTAGTGAAGATTACAGAAAGAGTATAAATATATTTACCTTTGAAAATTAACACAAGTATTACTAAAAAGGGATCTACAAGTCCATTGAACCAGAGACCATCACTCCAAGAAATTCTTTCTTTTCTCTGAGTGAACGATATCTACTCAAGTTCTAAATATTAGATCTTTCATAATCTGGTAGCCTGGTCTAATGAACCACAGTCAAAAGTGGGTACTGGTCTCTATATAAAATATCCAGTGAGTTACTAAGAATAAAATTATGAGCTTTTTCATATTAAACATGCCCGTTATATTTTATATGTGCCTATGCGGGACTCCTTAGAAATGGAATTCCCTCCATTCTGTTTCCAGAGTTCCAGCATAGGAAATACATGTACCTAGTGCTAGAGATATGTTGAATTAATGCATTACTTTAGATCTAAACCCATGGCAAGTCCTACACAAGCAGAAAATTCAAAGTGCCTACCTATTGAATATAAAATACTTCTTTCAATGTAAAATTAGGAATAGATGTTTAAAAATAGAAACTGTCCATTTTAAACCTAAGTACTTGCAAAGGAAAATCCTTTCAAAGGGATTCAATAGCTTTTCTACATGAAAAATCCAAAGTAACCAGTTTGAAACTGACTATAAATGGTGATAATTTTATAAGAAAATCACCTGAACATAAAACACAAGGATCTTATTTAGGAAAAGAAAAAAGTTAAAAGCATTCTGAAATAATGTCTCAATTTAGAAGTCTGTAACAAAAAACCACCCACTAAGTAACCTACCCAATTTTACATTCTGAGAAGTCCAAAATTAAGGTGTACATAGATCCTGATGAAGGCTCATTTTCTGGCTTTCAGGATATGCTTTCTGATGGTGGCTGAGATAAGGAGAAGAAGGAAAGTGGAAGAAGGGTGGGAGAAAAAGAGAGAAAGACAGAGACAAGAGAAGGGAAAGAAACAGAAAGATGTGGTTTGTTTCTTGCTTCTCATAAAAATACTAATCTAATTACAGAAGCCTCAGTTCATGGACCACTTGTAAAACTAATTACTTGTCCAAGGTCCCAACCCCCAAATACCTTTGGAGACTGAGGTTTAGCATATGAGTTTTTCAAGAACGCAAACATTTAGTCCCTAATAGACATAAAAGAGTGGGGAAAGAGAGGAATTCCTTTTTCAGGAATGTAAAGATTCAATTTGATAAGTAACTGTTCTTTCCTAAGTTCATGGTTGCTAATATAACTCCAATTTAAATAAAACTGACATTAACAGAATTTGAAAAGCTATTGGCACCTATGTTTTCAGCTAAAGCATCCTGCAGAACTACATTGATTTCACTGCACTGTAACACAGATTATAACTATAAATCAATAGAAGAGGTTAACAGTCTAAGAAAATCATACATGTGTATTTAGCACACAATAAAGACACATATCAACAAATAATGAAATCAAGTATACAGAAAAATGCATATATACATACAGAAAGACATCTATAAGGGGCTGTTAAATATGCATTGGTTCAGGGCCCTTTGCAGGCTTAGTTTTGGCCCCTGGAGCAACATGTTACTGAATGGCTTAAACCATAGAAAGGCATGAAGTCTGAAGGATGAAAGCCCTTCACAGCATGAAGGGCGGCAGCCAAGATCAGGATGCCAATGGTCAGGTTTAGTGCTGGCTGTTTTTATGGTTCCTCAGTTAGATGAGAGAGACAAGGAGGAAGAGGCAAGATCCCTCACTTTTCCTCAATGCTCTAATCCCACCATAGGGGTTCTGGCTTCATGGCCTATTTACTCCCCAAATAGTCCATCCCCAAATACCATCACACTGGTGACTGGGGCTGCAATATGAGAATTTGGGAAGGTATTTAACACGTACATAGGGGATCAGAGTGCCTATCAATATTCGAGAAGCACTCTTTCCTATGACAATGGAAAGAG